AACCGAACTGATAGTTAACCAATCAGCTTTGGTTCGGTTTCAATTACCGGTTTTCTAGAAACTGGTAATACCGATTTGATTAAAAAATTAGGACCGAATCTTGAGCACCCCTACCTGTATACATAAATTTAAAATATGATAAATACATTTAATGTAAAATATTTTTCCTTCTAAAATAGGTTTTAGTTGAGATTTTAAAACACTTACAACCATATCATTATTACTAGCATTGTCAAAAGTAACTGAAAAAAAAAAGTATCTTTGATACCATAATTATATATCGTATTTCAAATACTATTTGCAATACTATGATATTATGTGGTCATTCTAATATTATAAAATTTAAAATTATTTTATGTAAAACCTAATTTTCATCAATAAAATTAGGGGTGCAAGTTGGGTGGGTTGGACTAAATTTATGGTCAACCTGGGCTAACCCTAAAATTTGGGCTTAAGGCTCAAGCCCGGATTGAGCCCAAGGTCAAGCTTGATTTTCCCAACCCAATCCCAACCTGCATTGTAATTTGATGCACTTGGGTTAGGTTTGGGCCTAGGCCGGGCTTGGCTTGTTCAATGAACCCACTCTAAAATTATATATATATATATATATATACATATACATATACATATACATATACATATACATATACATATACATATACATATGTATGTATAAATGTGTATAGTTGAATTGGGCTCGGGTTTGACCTGAAAAAATAAAAAAGCACAACTTTTTGGGCCTAAGGACCGAAAATCCAAACATAATCCGAGTAAAATTTCGGGTTGGGCTCACCCAAGTTGCACCCCTTGGGCAAACATCTGAAATAAGAGAAATTTTATAAAGTTTATTTATCATTTTACTTGAAATGCCCCCTTAAACTAGTAGTTGTTTATAGCTGTTAGGGGCATTTTAGTCATTTCCTGCACCTCTTTAGTAAAACACAAATATCCCTTAAGATAGTTGTTTATAGTTGTTGGGGGCATTTTTGCCATTATACCCCCTTATAATAGATATATTTAGTGTAGGCCATGGCACATGCCAAGCTATAGGCCATGCATGCCTAGCACGTGGACTGTGCTGGCATGTAGAGATGGTAATTTTCCCCATCCTCAATGGGGACCCGATTTCCCCGACCCGATGGGGTCAGTCGGGGATGGGTATTTTGGCAATGATGGGGATTAATAGGAATCCCCGATCGAGGTTGAGAAATATGATCCCCGCCCTATTGCCATTCTTATTGGCATGTGCCCACATGGGCCATAGGCCATGCCTTGACATGAGCCAAAATCCCTCAGCCCAGCCCGTTCTCCAAGGGGTCATGCCATGCTAGGTCCATCACTATAGTTGGCCGGCCGTTCCATATACCAGGCACAACCCAATCCATGCTAGGCCATGCCAACCCATGGGTGGGCCAGCCCGTTTTACACCTCTAGGGACTTGCTTAGTTGAGCTCAATCTTGTGACACTATCCAATCAAAGTCCACTATAAAGCCCTACAAGTTTTTTGGACCAGGGGTCGATGCTTATGTAAGTTGTTCGGTGATGTGTATGGCTGATTATATTTTGTTCCGAAGGCTGTGTTTGGTTGCAATGCAAATAAATTTGCATTGATGCAAAATCATGACAGTGCAGATAAATTTGCATTGAAACCAAACACAGCCTAATTTGATTTTTATATATTATTTCATATGCAAAACAAATTAGCTTATGTTACTTTAATTTGTCATTATCATAGAAAAAGAAAACAAAGAAATAATGAAAGGGAGCTGGATAATAGCCACAGCCCTTCCTATCATTTTCAAAAAGCTGACTCGGAGAGTGCTTATTTAATCATGAAAGGCTCGTATTAATTATTTAACTATGCAATGAGGCAACTATACCAATTATTTTGTTTGATATTAATCTCATTTAATTTGGGTTTTTTAGTTTAATTTAGAAAATTAAATTAAATTTGTAATTAGTGATCTATTTCAATGAAAAAATGGGACTCACATTATTGAAAGTCTATAAGTCTTATATTTAAATTAGGGTTGGAATATAATACCACAAAGACATGATATTCAAAAAACTTATAATCAATCAACTGGTATCATAAATGTGATAACCAATCAGGCTGTATTTATCAAAATTAATGAATGGGTTTTGATTGATCAAACCTCTTCCAAAATCATGTCTTCCGACATCGTAGGTTTTCCCTTTAAATTAAAAAGATTAATATTGATCCTACATCATTTGAACTACGGTGAATTTGTTTAGAGTAAAATTAATTACTATTTAATTTACTACTATATTTTTAGATATAGTGGAAAGGTTAAAACCAAAATGTCAGGATTTAGAAGTATCAAAATGCTAGAAAATAACCAAGTGGATATATCATATACGGTAGAACAAAGCAATGTAAGGGGTGGTAGGTCCGGGACGGTGGAGGTGGAATCACTCCCTCCGGAGTCCGGAACCAACATGGAATTCTACGGACAGCTTTCACGTGATGCCTGTACCAAATGCATATGAAGGGGATTACTGATACAGACAGACTGACAAGAAGCAAGTGACACCAATTCCATAACATCATAGGATATCTCCTGATTTCTCCATTCATGTTCATGGCATGCACCATGGTCGATGGATCACAAGGTTTCCACTGACGTTGGTCCATGGTTTTGAAAACCACACTCGACGGGCGGACCGGTTGATTTAGAAACCGTTCAGGTAATTAATTCCGGTTTACTCTGAAACTCTTGATCTGGGCAGTTGAACCTATTGATTATTTTTTAAATCAAAACGAGTCATCTTTAACCGGGAGGTCGAACCATTCGACCCAAGAACAAGTCCTAAAATGGTTCAGTGTCTAATCTAGTTTTTTAAGCCTTGGCGTTGGTCATTGGACCTCCATCTATCGTATATATCAATGGACCGACCGACCTCGTTTGCAGCCCAAAATCAGGGGCCTAATAATCCATCGAAAACCCAAAAAACTGGGGCCCTAATATGTGGTGGATGCACATGTTTCCCGTAACATTATTCCTCAACAACTGTACATAACGACTACACTTGATAAATAAATCCAAAAGAAAATTCAGTTGTTCACCACTCACCACTCATCACTCATCACCCAACCTTTTTTTGTTTAGGCTGTTGAGTTTTGGGCCTTCATCACACTCTCTTATATGCTTGAATCCTCAGTTCAGTCTCTTTTAGAGATTAAATATTGAAGCAGTGAGAGAAATGTTTTAGTTTCGCTTCTTTTGAGATGTTAGGAAGAGGGTCGAGACTCAAGATCAATGCATCAATGTCTTCTCTATATTTTCATGATGATGGTCCGTCCTCTGTTAGAAAAGCAGGATTTAATTCAATTATTGAATTAGGCTCCTCCGTCTTTTCTCATATGGGTTCTACTCTAAAAGTATCATTTTCAACTCACTGTTTCTCGAGCGTCCAAATATCCAGTTGTCAAGCCCAAGGACTTTGATTATTTTATGAGGATTCGCATTCACCCACGTTCTCATATGCAACATGTGGGCCCTAATTCCGTTGTCCACCACTATGAGCCCAGTTCAGGGCAGCCTGGAATTGGATTTCTCATCTCATAACCCATTCTACGTCTACTGTTGTTTGTGATTCTAAGTTCACACTCTTTTTTTCTTTTTTATCTTTGCATCGTTTAATCCTTTGATACCCTTTCAAGATTTTTAAGGCAGTGTTTGGCATTGATGTCATTTTTCTGAGAAAATGGCGCTATATCGGTGTCATGCAGAAAAAGAGGTGCTTCAAAAAATGGTCTCTTATTTGGCATCATTTTTCTAACGAAATGTTGCTCTATACCACACCTTGAAAATTAGGAAAATGTGGTATGAAGAAACATCAAATTCAATTTTTTTCTCAAAAAAAAGGATTAGTGCTACCAGCAGTAAATGATGTGGCATCATCTTGAGAGTTAAGATAAAGATCAATGCTGAAACCGGTCATATAGCATAGGTACCAAATAAAACTAGTACAGTTTTCCTAGAAAACAGTCTATATGGCAGTATCAATGCCAAACAACAAAATGAGCCCTTTTTTGAAAAACCAGTGCAACAGAGACCCTCATGCATACAGCACCGTTTTCTCTAAAAACATCATTGAAGCAACGACATGGGGCTAATAACATAATACATGCATTTTGGTATTAATAATTCGATGAGACTGAACATGAGGATATTGCATTCATGATGTTTACTCCTGCTTGGGGAGTGTTTATTGGATAGATAAGTGTTTGTTCTATTAAGCACTTATGACTGTTTGGTGAAAAAGTGCTTTTAAATGAGTAATATAAGTATTTTGAAAATTATATGGCAAGTCAAGACAGGCTAGAAATGCAATAAACTTTTTTTTTTAAAGTGCTTAAAAAACCAGAATTTTGAACTTATTCAAAATGGGCTTATTTCCCTAAAAAGCACTTAACCCTGCTTATTTGCCAAACGCATATAAAAGCTTATAAGTATGGTCCCTGCCTAAAATAAGTAGTTAAAAATAATCACCCCAAACGGGGGCATATGCTTTTTTCCCATTATTCCATCTGTTTCACTCATTTACGATCTAAACCATGAGGATGAGATGTTGTTAACCATTTTGACCTGCTGTGATGATTGGATTAGATAATAGCGTACGTAGTTGTGGTAGTTGGAGAGGAAAGTAAATGTCAATCTGATTTGGGACGATGTTTTGACCCTCATGATTCTACCACCTGAGGACTGAGGACTGAACCTGGGACCCATTGTTGGGCGTGGCCCGCAAACCCACAAGTGCAAGTCCCCTCGGATCATTTGATAGGGATCAGTCGGATACACAGCCAGTCAGCCATACAGGTAATGGATCCGGCAGACCTGATTCCAAAATGTGGCATCCAGCTGTGGTGGTCTGAGACTCTGAGGAGCTGACCCTAAGAACAATATATATACGTATGGAATTGTTATAGCTATTCATTCCAGTTCCAGAGGGTCCCTCATCAAACAGAAGCTGAAACACCGAAGGTCAGGATCCTCCGCTTGCTGAATCCCTTTTGTCATCTCACTGCAGGCTTCGGACTTCGGAGTCCTAAATGCCAGAACGATATGTACACCATTTGCCCAAGTAAAAGACAGGAATGCAACTGGTAAACTTTTGAGTTTGACATATTTTATCCAGGAATAGAACAAAAACAAGGTTGATTTTCAACTTCTACCCTTGGGTGATCAGTGATGCACAGTCTCATATAGAAACTCTGGGATCATATATAACCCATTTCTTCTCTGTCACCCAACTGGAAAAAGCTCTCTCTTTACCCCTCCCCCTCTTCTCTCAGCGTCAGGGGCGCCAAAATGGAAACAAGGGTGTTCCCATTGGCCATTCTTCTCGGAATTGCAGTTCTCATGGCATCCTGCTCTACATCAGGCGCAGCAGAATCAGGCTCGTTTTCATTCGGAGACAATTTTGATATTATGTGGTCTGAGGACCATTTCAAGACATCGGCAGACGGGCAGGTCTGGTATCTTTCTCTCGACAAAGAAACAGGTACGCGGAACCATAAATTTCGACACAGTAGAGATGGCACCCATCTTTTCTATTCGACCATGTTAAGTTTAAATCTGAATCTATTGTAATTTTTTTTTTAATTCCCTAATTCATTGAAGATTTAATTTATTTCTGTTATGAGGAGAATAGGTTGTGGGTTCCAAACAAAGCAGAGATACAGATTTGGATGGTTCAGCATGAAGCTCAAGTTGGTCGGAGGTGACTCTGCCGGTGTTGTGACGGCCTATTATGTAAGTCTTTCATACTGTAGAAGTCTTCTGTTTTTTTGTCTTCCCCCAGTTTTCCTTCTGATTCCACTCTCCAGTGAAGGCGTCTTGGTGACTGAATGGATGATCTAGCTTGAATCATCGTTAACTAAAAGAGGCAGTTATATACATGTTACAGATGTGTTCGGATCCAGGAGCTGGACCTGAGAGGGATGAGCTAGATTTCGAGTTCTTAGGGAACAGAACAGGGCAGCCCTACACGATACAGACCAACGTGTACAAGAGCGGAGTTGGGGGCCGAGAGATGAGGCACATGCTCTGGTTCGACCCTACCGAGGACTTCCATACCTACTCCATTCTCTGGAACAACCACCAGATTGTGTAAGTACATCCTAATCCTATCCTCTTCTTCGATCCCAAAGCAGTTTTATATGCCTGATGAGTGATGCTGATAGCCTGTCTGGTCACGGTTATCTGCCCTTCTTTTGTAAGCGGCCATTCGGTAGCTTAATGAGGGGAGAAGCTTGCAGCTTTGCACACTTGGACTGTGTCAACATCCTGGTGATCAATTAGGAAGATGCTAATACCAAGTTACAGACCAGATATAAATCGGGTTGAGACTTGAGAATGAATAACTGACAGTACTAACCGGGGGAGAGGGGGGGGGGGGGTGTTAACAGATCAAGATTCAAGAGTGAGATGTGAGAACCCATTGATTCAATGTACATTGTAAAGTTTGAACTTTGAATTGTAAACAATGGTTTTGTGGTCAACTGGTCTTGAGTCTCATTACTCAAGACTGATGAGCATGAGGTGTTCAAACCTTAGCTCAGCCTGTGAAAAGCTCTTAGCTCAGTTTAAACTGAGTTTCGAGTCAAGTTTGAGCCCAATAAAGCTCGACTCATGAGGCTTGTGAGCTTAATCAAACTTATATATATAATTATTTATTTTTCTAGAAACTTAATTCACAGTTGAGCTTGAGCTGAACCGAGCTTGAACATATGAGCTTTTGAGTCAAACCCAAGTTGAACTCAAGTCTCTAGCTCAAATTGAACAAACTTGAATAATTAGGCATTTGGCTTGGCTTGGCTCGAATCCACCCCTAGCTAGAGCCCATTTAAGAATGTAAAGTAGCATGGTCAAAAGAGAAATCTTTAGAACTTTTGAATAAGCTCATTTCATTTGGTTACAGATTATTCTGATAATAAACATATATCATTGGTCTTGGTTTGGTTGACAGCTTCTTCGTGGATAGAGTACCCATAAGGGTGTATAAAAACACAGAGAAGCCAAATGACTTCTTCCCAAATGAAAAGCCAATGTGGATGTTTTCAAGCATATGGAATGCGGATGACTGGGCAACGAGGGGTGGGCTTGAGAAAACAGACTGGAAGAAGGCTCCCTTCGTATCCTCCTACAAGGATTTCAATGCCGACGGGTGCCAGTGGGAAGATCCTTACCCTGCTTGTGTCTCTACCACCACCCACAATTGGTGGGATCAATATGAAGCTTGGCACCTCTACGATTCTCAGAAGGAAGACTTCGCTTGGGTTCAGAGAAATCTTGTTATCTATGATTATTGCAAGGACACTGAGCGCTACACTAAGCAACCATGGGAGTGCTCCCTCAGTCCATGGGATTGATCAACAATCACCCCTCCGCCCATATATTCTTTATTTATTTTGCTCCTTTTTTTCCCTTTCTATTCAATTAATTGTCTTGTTTTTCTTCTTCTTTTTTTCCCAAGTCTTGGTATTTATAATTAGTTTTTTTTTTTCTTTTGAGAGAGAGAGAGAGAGAGAGAATTGCTATTAATTATTGCTATGGAGTTTGGATGAACATATAGTGATTATTTATTTGTAATTATCCAAGTTAATATATAGGATATGGCTTAGTATATGAAAGTTAAAAAAGAGATCAGTTTATTTAGGCCATGTTCACTTTTTGGTAACTTACTTGGGTAAGTATTTTCCAAGAAAGATTTATCTAAGTAAATTCTTTACTTGTGTTCTTTTATTTTCCATATAAATAAAGCAATGACCATTTTAATTATAAAAATCTATTATTAAAATGGGCATTTTTGTCCCATTCAAGTATTGGCAATTTTTTCCCTAGATCGAAAAGTTATTTATCCACCTAGAAGATATGTATCACTTACCTGATCCCCACAAATACCTGAAGAAAGAATAGTAATCAAAATCCCATTGCTCTCTCAAAATCAAAAAAAAAATAAAGAAAAAAAAACGTCCCCTTAGAATTTCTCTACCTTACTTTTAAGAAACTCAATTGAAGACTTTTTAAATGCAGTATATATCTCAGGCGGCGCTTGTTTCTCAACCAGTCAGTGAGAGTGAGTTGCAGTACTGTAAAATTGAAATTTCAGTAAAGGAAACTTGATGGGCTCCCCACAGCACGCCCCACAATCCATTCCCTCTGTGCATTGGGAACAATGAAACATGCACTGATGCACTGGAGATGTTTCCCATGCACAAAGGGGATGAGCTGTGTGGGGTACACTATATGGAGAGTCCGTCCAAACTCTTCTCAAAGGCATGACCGGTTAATGAGTACATAACATGTTTGAGATATGCAGCTATAAATCATGTTTGAAGCCGTTTTGCCAGCATCTTGTTGACAGCATATTTGGACTCGTATGACCCACGGTCCCATTTAGTAATATTAAGCAACATATATGATATATCTTCCTACTCTTGGAGGGTCTTTCATGCAAGGATCAAAGTATGGACACGTATCGGTCAATACGTATTGGTCCGAGACCCCTTCATTATATCTCTATAGTGAGTATATTGGGGGTCTGACCGGTTCAGGGTGTAGAGACCTAAACCGGCCCCCCTGAACATGTTTCGAAAAAAATAAAATAAAATGTAAAAGAAAAAGGTATCAATTCGCCTGATACACCTATACCGATATATCGGGCATATCGATATTTTGAACCTTGTTTTCATGGGTTAATATTTTGATGAATTTCACTATTGTGGTTTTCAGTTAGGGGTGAGCAATCAATTTATTCGGTTAAAAATCAAACTGAATAAATCAAAATTTTTAAAACTGAAGTTTTAAATGAAATAATGAGAAATTGAAGTAACTAAAACTAAATTTTTTATTCCATTTTTCGGTTTTAGCCAAACAATGCTCAGCCCTACTCTCAGCATGGCCTTCCTCTTATAGTCTTATTCCATAGATATTGACTGGGGTTGGCATAGGTTAGGGATGGCAATTTTTTCCATAAAACTAGGCCTTAGTCTACCCTACCTCGAATAGGGTGAGCTTTCTCCTCCCTAAAGGAGAAAATTGTTTTACTCTGAATTAGGATGGGGTTTACATATATTTTCCTAAATTTGCCTTTGAACCTGGTGATAAATTATTAAAATATTAATATTAAAATATCCTTCACTAATCATTTAATGAAATGCCTTAGGGTTTCATAATCTCATTTTCCTCAAATCCCCTAAACCGGCAAACCCTAATATCTAATAATTCTATATTTTCATTTAAAAAATATTTCTAAATTCCTATAATTCCGTTGTTTCAGGGCTGAGGTAGAGGTGTAAATTGGGCTGTGCTAGGCCAGCATGGTATGGCCTGTGTGCGGACCGTGCAAAGTGCGAATTGTGCTTCCCTCCCCTAGGATACTTCGGGGGTCAGCCCGAAATGGTCCATGGCCTAAGCCCGTGTTGGGCCATGCTGTGCTGTGTGCCTAGATTGGGCAGGCTGTAGGTTTTTCAGTGGGCCCGGCCCGTGTTAGGTTGGGCTACGGGCCAGACCTTGGGCATGGGCCAAACTAGACTTAACTGTTTTTTTTTTGACATTTTGATTTTTTTTTGTTAAGTAAACACTAAAACTATAATACTCACTTTCCTTAATTCCTTTGAACTATGGGAACAAATTGGAAAAAAAAATAAGAATTTTATTTCTTAATTTTGAACAATGCAATGGTCAATGGATGAATAAAATATAGAAAATGGAATAAAATATAAAAAAATAAAATACAATTATAAATTGAAAATAAAAAATTACATTGTTGAAAAAATAACAACTAATTTAAATAAAATTGAAAAAATTACAATAATTTTAAAAATTGAAAAAAATTTACATTAATTGAAATATTGAATATACAAAAAAATAAAAAAAAAAATATTAACTTCATCATTTTTCTTCAAGTTCCACCTTCACCTACATCTTTATCTAATCATCTTCTTGATTATCATTTTCTTCCTCCTTTCTCTTGAAATCTATTCTCAGCATCCAATTCATCTTTAAGGCAGATGCACATTTCTAGACTTTCATCATTCATGGGGCTTCTCTTGTCGTCCAACATCCTAATACCTACACTAAAATAAGACTCCAATGGAACTGTAAACATTGGAGGGTTTAATAGATCATGTGCTATGACGACAATGACTAGATAGTTTTTTTTTTTCATTATAAAGTCATTTATCACTTTACCTAAATACCCCCTTAAACTAGTTGTTATATAGTTGTTGGGGGGGGGGTATTATTGTCATTTTATCTCCTCTCAAAGCCAAAATACATAAATACCCCCCATATAGCTGTTTATAGCTATTGGGAGGTATTTATGTAAAAAAATCCCTAAAAAGTTGGAACTAGCCATTGGGGGTGGAGGTCTCCAATGGCTAGTCCTTTGGGTGAGCTAGCCTATGGGCCATGGGCGACACAACACAACAATGCGGGCCATGTTGGCTCAGTTCGAGGACCTGAAACCCCAAGCCCGACACAACCCATACAATCGTGCCATGTCGTGGCATGGCCCGTGAACCATCGGGCCAGGCTGACTCAAAATCGTGTCGGGCTTACACTTGTCATTAAGGGAAATATGTTAGGCCCGAGCCCGAGCTTGGCCCGACCAACGGGCCTATAAGTTGGGCCCAAGCCCGGCCCTAATAAAAAGGCCGAAGCCCGACCTAATAAAAAAAAAACAATTTTCCCTATTCAAATTAGAATTAAAAATTCAGATAGTTTTTTTTTTCCTATTTAAATGAACAATGGGCCTACAAGATGGTTTTTTTCCCCTTTCTTTTATATTTTAAAACACAGTTTTACATTCTTAAGTCAAAAAATTTATTCAAATGGACATAATCACATTACTCACTTTAAGTCTAATATTAGATCGGGCCGGGTCGGGCTATTTTGACAAAACCCGAGCCCGACTCGAATTTATTGTAGGCTGGGCTTTTTGGCCCGAATTTAAGCCCACGGACCTATAGCCACGTTCAAGCTCGTCTGGGGGCCGGACCGGCCCGTCGGGCCACCCGGCCCATGAACAGGTCTACCTCTAGGCTGAGGCAGGGTACGCATTTTGGCCACTAGGCAAGGACGGGGAGGGGGTGCTGGCTGGCCCGGCCCTATACCCGTCTTGGCGCCCTGTTGCGTTTCCTGCATGAACCCGGTTTGATTAATCATCGACCAACCCAAGTCGAGAATCCACCACTTAACACTTTGTCTTTCTGGGGTTTTCTGTCATTTGATCCATTTCCTCCCGAAACAAACCTTCTGAATGACTAACGCTTTCTCTCAACCCTCTCCTCCCTCAGCCAAAACTCATGTTCAACTCCACTGCTGTTCTTTTTCTTTCCAATATTTATCAATTGGATCCGGACCCATCTCCACCTTCTAGTAATCTCTTATTCCCTTCATTAGTCTCAAGCTTTTGTTGGTCCATTCCAAAACCACACGAAACCCTCCAATCTCTGCAAAATGCCGAAAATGTCTTCTAAAAATGATTCTTTTCAATCGGAGGCAGCGGTAACCAAAGATGTTTTTCAGGATTCTTGTCAGAAAAGGGAAGGGATGGGTGCATTCTTCATTCTCTTGTAAGTCTTTAATTTCTTTTGGTCGTTCTTTTTCGGTTCATAGTGTTTTATTGAGTACAAGTTCTTCTGAGACTGAACAAACCAACGAAGATGAAATTGAGGCCCCTATCGCTGAAGACATATTTAAGTGGGGTCCTAAGTTTGGTGCTTACAAACAGGGTGATTCTACCTTTTATTTTCTCGTTAAGAACTACGCTGACGCCGGGGACTTCAAGTCGTTGGAGAGGGTCTTAGACCGAATGAAGCGTGAAAGGAGGGTCTTTACAGAGAAAATTTTCATCATTATATTCAAAGCTTATGGAAAAGCAAATTTGCCCGATAAAGCTGTGGTTTTATTTGAACGAATGATGGACGAGTTTCAGTGTAGGCAAACCGTTCGATCATTTAACTCAGCTCTTAATGTTCTCGTTCAAGCGGGTCTCCTTGAGCGTGCTATGGAATTTCACTCACACGGCGTGGGAAGGGGTGTTTCGCCAAATGTTCTCACTTACAATTTAATCATCAAAGCAATTTGTAAATTGGGGTTGGTAGACAGGGCTATTGAAATGTTCCGTGAAATGCCACTTCGAAATTGTACTCCTGATGTGTTCACTTATAGCACTTTGATGGATGGGTTATGCAAAGGCAATAGAATTGATGAAGCTGTTTCCTTGTTGGATGAGATGCAGATTGAAGGGTGCTTCCCGAGTCATGTGACATTTAACGTCTTGATCAATGGATTGTGCAAGAAGGGCGATATGTCCCGTGCTGTGAAACTTGTGGACAATATGTTTCTTAAAGGGTGTGTTCCAAATGAAGTGACTTACAACACTCTCATCCATGGTTTGTGTCTCAAAGGTAAGTTGGAGAAGGCTGTTTGTCTTCTGGACCGAATGGTGTCAAACAAGTGCATGCCGAACAATGTCACATATAGCACAATCATCAATGGGCTTGTCAAGCAAGGGAGAGCTGCTGACGGTGCCCGTGTCTTGGTCTCTATGGAGGAACGAGGGCACCCTCCAAATGAATTTGTTTATTCATCTCTTATTAATGGATTGTTTAAAGAGGGGAACTCGGAAAGGGCATTCACATTGTGGCAAGAGATGATAGAAAAGGGATGCAAGCCAAATACTGTTGTTTATGGTGCTCTTATTGATGGCCTGTGTCGAGAAGGTAAACCAGATGAAGCCAAGAAGGTTCTCTTAGAGATGGTGTCCAAAGGTTGTATACCTAATGCCTATACTTATGGCTCCATAGTGAAGGGCTTTTTCAAGACAGAAAATGTTCATCAAGCAATTCTCACATGGAAGGAGATGGTGCAGAATGGATGTACTCCTAACGAGATTTGCTATAGCATACTCATCCATGGCTTCTGCGAAAACGGGATGCTTCAGGAAGGGTTAATGGCATGGAAGCAGATGTTAGGCAGAGGATGTAAGCCTGATACTGTGGCATACAGTTCAATGATCCATGGCCTCTGCAATGCCGGTCTGGTGGATGATGGTTTACGGCTCCTTAATGAGATGCTTTGTGAGGAATCCTACTCTCAACCAGATATTGTTACTTATAACATACTCTTTAATGGTTTGTGCAAGCAGGGTAACATCTTACGTGCCATAGATCTCCTCAATGGAATGTTGGATCAGGATTGTGAACCAGATCTAGTTACTTGTAACATTTTCTTGAAGAATTTGCAAGAGAAATTAAACCCACCTCAAGATGGGAGAGAATTCCTAGATGAGCTTGTGGTCCGGCTGTCTAAGCGGCAAAGAGTTGTTAGTGCTTCAAAAATTGTGGAGGTAATGTTGCAGAAATTTCTTCCACCCAAGGCCTCCACTTGGGAGAGGGTCATTAAGGATCTCTGTAAGCGTAAGAAAGTGCAAATGGCCATTGATATTGTTTGGAGCAAACTAATTGACTGATTTCTGGTTACAGATTCTTTCTTGTAATATTCTTTCTTATAATTTATTAAACACTGTATAATATCATGTCATGGTATTGATCTTATCAGAGAGAGATAATACAGGAATTTTACCATCTCAGAGGCTTCTTTTATTCATGGAATTTCTTCCACTGTATTGCGTCCGGCATCCAGTAGAAGAATAATCACATTTTGAAGTCAAGGCTGTTATTGAATTTGTTTTCTTGGCTAGGGGTGAGCATAGTTCGGTTTAAACTGAATAACCGAACCGAAATTTCAGTTTCGGTGCATTTGGTTTGGTTTGTTTGGATATTCAGTTCGGTTTCGGTTCTTTAATATTCGGTTTTTGGTTTCAGTTGGAGTATTTTGTGTTTCGGTTGACCAAAATAACCGATATTATAAGGGTATATTAGTAATTATTACTAAACCCCTCTTTGTTTAGGCCCACCAAAACGATTGAGAGTTGAACAGTAGTCTTGACAAGCGTAAGTCTTCCTCTCCAAGTCTCTGTGTCTGGCGACTGATGTCTGACTGTCTTCCCACTTCTCAGTTTCCTCTTTTCGAAGCAACAACCTCATACTCTGGCAACGGCGACGGCGAGCAGCGAGTCGACTGTCTTCCCACTTTCCCAGTTCTGTATTGTGCTAAGAGTCTTCCTCTTCAAGTCTGTGTTGTGCTCTGTCTGCTTTTGGTCTGGTGTCTGACTGTCTTCTCACTTTCCTAGTTTCCTCTTTCCGAACTCCGAAGCAACAACCTCATAGTCTCATACTCCGGCGACGGCGACGGCGACGGCAAGCAGCGAGTCGGTTGTCGAAGTCTACTCTCAGGTATGTAATATTTATTATTGTTTATTTTTTTTTCTTTTTCTTCTCTCATTTTGATGGGTGAAATGCTGAAATGCAATCTCTTTTCCGATGCCATAGTAGTTTTAATTTGAGTTACAATCTCTTTTCCGATGCCATCATCAACAGGTATAGGGCCAACCTAAAATAGAGGAGATTGTCAAAGATTGAAGCTCCAAAGCAAAACAATAAAAAACACAGCCTAAAACTATGTTAATTTGAGTTACATTCTCTTTTGCAATTTTCTGTTAGTATTTTGCAATTTTCAGTTTTAATCGAAAAAAGAAAATCGGTTTGGTTTATTCGGTTTAACCTAAATTCGGTTTCAGTTTGATTGCCACATTTCATAGTTCGGTTTCTGAAAATTCGGTTTATTCGGTTCGGTTTTAAACTGAACAAACCGTTTGCTCACCCCTATTCTTGGCTTAGCATAGTCTATTTCTAGTTTCTATTAATCTACTTGTAAGCATAACCCATAATCTTATGCTGATAGGAAACTTGTTGGAATAAAATTTGTACAATGATTTCACAGCTATATATTTCTTTTTTCCTTTTGACTTGGTTAAAAAGTCCATAGTATATTTTCCTTGTTTAGATACCTTCTGACTATCTGGAACTAAGATAACTCTTTTTTTGAAATATAGAGTTATTTATAATCCATGAGAACTTGGAAGCTGTCTACGACTTGCTTGATGTGGGCGTTTATAATGGAAGATTTCCTTTTGACATCAATGAAGATGAATGTGTATTTCTTACAATCAATTTCTTCTGTATTCCTTGGGGATAATACTTGGGATATCTTTAGAAATTGAAGGGGCCAATATAGGGAGACTCTGTTATCTTTTGCTGTTTCCTCATTAGTGCCATATTTTCTTTCTGGATCTGAATCAGATGGTGAAAAATAAGAAACTGGTCCCTCTGAGACTGAGAGCCTATATAGAAGATATATTATATCACTTATGGAAATATCCCGTTGTACAGGTCTAGATATTTTTCAAGTTTCAATAAAGTGCTTCTCTTATTACGACAGACTTCAAAGCAATACTTATCCAGAGTAACAGTGTCAGCCAATGATGAACCCTTTTCTCATATAAGTGTGGAGATTAGATCAAGTTAACTATGGTTCTGCCAAAGGTCTTCTAAACAGCTGGAGTGATAGTTGGTGAGGAACCAAGCTCTTCCAACATAAGAGTGCATGAAGCACTTCAATTGACTGCTAAACCAGTTAGGCCTTCCCAGGTTCATCATGTAAGCCTAACTGTAACAGGGTTGTTCTTAGACTTGCTAAGGATTCTATTCACCTTTGATGCTGTATTTGAATTCCAAGTGGTTCTGCACGACCCTTCTAAATGAGCAAGTTACCCACCTATTTTCATTAGGTCTTACTTTCCATGTGGAAAATTTTCAAGTGAACAGCCTTCTACCATGTGGTATAAAAAAACTTCTCATCTTGTTGTTCAAACCCCATAACATTCAAGGGATGTTATGTGCAGTGGAAATGTTAATACGCTACACTTTCAGCATTAGGATAACATGCTCAAGAACACCGTATACGTGTTCATCCCGATGGTCTCCAATGAAATGGAATGGATAAATATGGATTTGCCATGTCATGCTCCATATGGCAGAAAGCTGTTTATTGCAGTTAATTTTACAGAACACTGTACTCAACCATGATGCAGCACTTGTATATGGTTGGTGCCATGATGAAATTCACATATATGTAAACATGCAGCTTTCAAGATTACCCATTCTATAATTATGCATAGATAAAAAAAAAATCTGTAACAATGAATACTTATTATCCTTTCTTTCTCCCTTTCCCTGGTCCTCAAATCCGTCTTCTTTATGGTTTCCAAGTCAAGAGTCCACTTCAAATTTCCAACTTCCTTCAGCAAACAAAGACGTGCTCGATTGACTAAAGAGATTTCATCTGCTGTTCTGGAGCTGATTATCTATTCTGGATTTTGAGGCTGAGTCTTTCGGTTGTATAATTCTGGTGGTTGCATCAAATCTTTCCAATCTATCCACTGTAAACTAGGAATGATTCTGTTTTGTTTCAAATATTCATGTCCTTCATCCCCAAATTTCTGGTGATTACTTAAATTCTTTCTAATCTATCCACTGTAAACTAGGAATTCATTCTGTTTTGTTTCAAATATTATGTCCATCCCCATATTTCTGGTGGTTACTTAAATTCTTTCTAAATCTATTCACTGTAAACTAGGAATGCATTCTGAATTGTTTCAAATATTCATGTCCTTCATGCTGCAGCTCCTTCACTGTCTCATTGATTGATGTCTGCATTCTCACAAAGCTGGTGTTCTTATTAGAAGCATGAATATTTTATATGTTTTGTTTCAAATATTCATGTCCAATGTTCTAAAATGCGAAGGCATGATGTGAGGCGTTTTTAAAGGTGTGACATGTGGTTTAGAGCACAAGGAGGCCTTAGTGTTTTATAGATATTTTATATGTTTTTGTTATGTTTATATGTGGTTGGATTCATATATAGTATGCTATGACTAGTTTTTTGGGGTCTGGGGTCACATCCCCCCTCCCCCCAACCCTCAATAATGAACAAATTTGGATGGTTTTCATCTTCTGGATTATTTTAACATAGAATAGTTACCCCACTTTTTCCCAAAGCATTTTATTATAAAAAATAGCTTAAGTACAAAAGCATAAGAGGTGTAAGCCTCTCCTATAAAAAATAGCTTAAGTACAAAAGCATAGAGGTGTACGCTTCAAGGGTCTTTACGCTTCTAGGCTGCGCGCCTCCAGGCGTTTTCTTAGCGCCTCGCCTAGAGGAAAACACTGGTTGGAATAACTACAAAATTTTCTCCTGTTTCCAGGTATTCTCTTGCAAATTTCAACACTTTGATGTTGAACACTACCTACGAAGAGGAAATTGGGAGGCAGGGGGGAGGGGGGAGAAGATAATGTAAATCCATGAACAATTTCAATCAGAAGGAACTGTGAACTGAGCAAAATTTTTTGGGAATGAAAATATGTTTTCCCTGGGTAGAAGGTGTATTCTTTGAACTTTTTGGTAATGGGAATTGAAAATATGCTAATAGGATTCGTTTAGAAGACCCAGAATAGTTAAAACAGAGCTTTGTTCAGTGGAGCAGGGCTGAGCTTGTAGTTGTAGCCCAGTGCCATATGATGGTTTCAGTAAAGAGAGGAGAGTTTAAGAGCCATGAAAGGGAGAAAATTAAACCAAGAACTATACTGCAAGAAAAGATAGCTCGTAAGCTACATCCAGCATATTTACATGCACTTCAGCTCATCATGGGATTGATATTTCAATACCCATGAGAGCCAAACTGAACTAGTAAGTTTCCAAACATCAAAAATCACACCCATAAGACAGGCAATTGCACAAATACAGGCTTCATGAATGCCTCAACTAGAAATCAGCTGAGACCCGAAACTTCATATGTCTCTATAGCCAAGCTAACTGAATTACGTGCCCAAACTCTGCATCAATACGCCCCAAAATTGCTTGCTTTCATAGAGAAAACACCATATAGATTCTCTCATTCACTTGTTGAGTACCTAGAAGTCCAGTACTTCTCGATCTCTTCCGCTGTTCTTCCTGGTATTCTCCCAGCGATCAGAGACCACCTGATCAAATGATATTGAAATCTTAGATTAAAAAAAGGTTTAGGAAGAGAGAGAACCCAGAAGATTAAAAAGACGAAGGAACTAACGAAATGGGGAAAAGGAATCAGACCGACCTGTCTCCAAGCAGACTGTACATCCGAGCAATAAGCGTTTCCTCGTCCTCTGTAAATTCCAGCTTAGAGTCTTGGCTGGTATCCTCTATACAAACATCAAATAAAACCCAGAAAAGAAATAATCAAGTTAAAATAGAGTACATATTCAAGGAATACAAACAGGGTCTCATGTCACGAGTAGAGAAGAAAGAGGTAGTGAAGCCATTGTATGAAACAAACACCTCAGGAAAACCAAATCACAACAAGTGTATAATAATAAAATTAAAAGCCAGGAACGCATAATAAAAGAAACCAAGCTGAAGAAGAAACGCTTAATGAGTACAGTACTAAATGACAACAAACATTCTATAGACATTTAGTGCGGTCAATGCAGGAAACAGCCCAGGAAATAAAATCCGATTGTCATAGCAAATGACCAATGAAAAAGTGGTTGGTTTAGAACGAGAAGAAGGAAAAAAATGAGTAAATTTGAAATAAATACCCCGAGAATCCACAGAGGTATCGTCAGAGGAGCGATCCAAATCGGCCATTTGTGGAGAAGGAAAACAGAGTCGAGAGCTTCGAGTTCTTCGATTTGTTGGAGGCAAAAGGAAGAGGGTGTGGGGAGCTTGGGGTGGTGCTGTGGATGGGCTGAAGTATATATTAATAGGAGGAGAGATTGGGGAGAAGAATGGGTGGTGAGAAAGGAGAGAAGACTGGTAGTTGCAGAGAGGGAGTTGGGAAGTCTTCCTTTGATAGGTGGTTGAACGGCTGGTTGGTTAATGGTTAACAACTTTTACACAAATAAATAAGTAATAGATAGTTGCGTTTTTAGTTTTTACTGGAATAGAAAGCATATACGACAAGCTTATCCACTTGGGCTGTTGAGTAAGATTATGGGTATTTGGATTTGAAGCAATAAATGATAAAACCTGATGATGCCCAGAAAACATGCATATCGCCATTTGACACATTAATTTGCCGGCACTTAAAAATATGTATCAATCTTATCAACAACAGAAACCCCAGCCCTCCCAACCCTATCATATTTCCACTACAGTGAGCCTGATCCACATAATCTCTTTTCCCTTCCAGACATCACAAGCAATTAAGCAGATGAGATAACTGGGTTGGTACTAACACATCCAGGACAACCCTACCTCAACTTTAATCAGTGAAAATTGGGGAGGGGGGAATGTAAATATCTGAGATAGAAAACTGGCTTAGGCCTGACATGGAGCATACTTTGTTAGGTTTGGGTCGGTTCAGCTTGTAGAACCACAAGCATAATCCATTGGATTAGATCACTAGTGTTGGTATGTGTGTGTGATTCAAAGTAAAAATATTGAAGTTACGTGGTTTGTATAATTTCATTTGATACTTTGTTTTTCTGTGGGTTTTTGGTATTTAACACACAACACAGACTCCAGATCTCCTGCCTACGAAAACTTTGCCTATGCCTACCCATAATACACTATCCGTGAATTGGGAACATCTCCCCCTGCATAATACTATGTAGGGGATGAGATGTTCTCCATATGTGGCTGCAGTAAATGTGGGTAGAGTTCTCGTGGGCAGGAGATCCGGACTCCACAACACACACTAACTTTCTAACGTAGTGGTAATGGCGAGATTCGAATCCGCATCTCTTCTGGAACTGCCCAGCTAACATGCCAATCGAGTTACCACTTGGTAAATACAAAGTATTTTGTCCCTATCGATCATAATATGATGTATTTTCGGGTGATAAAGTTGTTTGTTTTGTTATATAATCTTTTGATCTGCGGAATAATTCGAGTCTCATAGAGGTGTAAATCGGACCGTGTCGCCTGTGGCCTAGCTTGATTTTGAGCCAGTTTGGCTTGATGAACGGGTTGTGCCATGGCCTGACACGATTGTATAGGTCGTGTTGGGCTTGGGGTTTCAGGTTTGCGAGCCAGGCCAGCACGACCCGACAGTGTGGGCTGTGCCGCCTATGGCTTGTGGGCTAGCACGACCCGACCCGTGACATGGCCCGGCATGGCCCAACATGACCCATATATATTTATATATTTATATAATATAGTTATATTATATATATTTATATATAATATATAATATATAATATAAATTATAATTATATAATAATATATAGTATATAATTTGTTAATAAAATAAAAAATTGTTTTCAAATTTATTATACTATTTTATTTAATTATTGTATATATAAGCAATTGTTTACATCAAATTCAAAATTCATATAAAATAAAAATTTTAAGATTTTTTTAGGGTAAAATACAAAAACTTTCCCTGAAGTTTCTGTCAATTATAAAAATCTCCACATGTCACGTTGTGGATTGGGCCATGCTGTGCACCAGTTTTTTCAAATACCCATTTTACCATTTTATAAATTATTTTACATACAAAATTACTAAAATAACCCCATTTTAACTCAACAAAAGCCTCTTTTAATGATCATTTCAGTAAATTTACAAACAAAGTTACTGAAATATGTTTTTTTTGTTAAGTTAAAATGGGATTATTTTAGTAATTTTGTTAAGTTAAAATGAGTATTTGTTCAAATGATACTATAGGGGAGGTTTCTATGATTGGCAAAAACTTTAGGGGTGGTTTTTGTATTTTACCCTTTTTTTTAATAAATAGCTTTGGCCTAGTCCACAGCGTGGCCTAACTAGCTAAGGCTTGACCCACAGACCAACCCGGCCCGTGGCACAGCACGCGCACGTGCTTGAGCTCAGACAGTGGGCCGACCCCCCAAAATATCCCAGGAGAGGGAGGCACAGCCCAGGATGACCTGCGGGGGCCGCACGTGGAACATGCCATGCCAGCCCAACAAGGCCCGGAGAGTCTCATATGGACTATTAAAGGAACTCTATTTTGAGCTTTTGCAAGTTTTATGCTCTTTGATTTGATATATGCCTTTGTATAGAGCATGTGGAGAGAGTGGCTCAGATCTACCCACATGACAGTACATCTTTACATTGGACACATCTTAAATGGCAACATGGAAATATGTATAGAGCATGTGGAGAGAGTGGCTCAGATCTACCCACATGACAGTACATCTTTACATTGGACACATCTTAAATGGGCAACATGCAAATATGGGAGAGTTGCGTATATACAATGAATTGGTTCATTGCTGATCAGAGTTGTTGTTTGTACCTGGAACTGGAAGCCACGACCACAGTATATTTTTACATTTTTAGAGGCGAAAAAAATGATTTTAATGCCTCAGCTATCACCGATAAATATTCTCTATGTTTTTATTTTAATAAATTAAACTTGATCATCATTCATATTCTGCTGTTCTAATTTGGGTAGATTGTCATAGTGGCGCGCCCATGGAAGTTGACCAGGCCCAAAATTGGATGGGCCATTGTTGACTCACCGACCACTTAATATTCTGATTCCCTTTTGAGTATTGAGTATTGATTTGGCTATCCTATATGTTAATAATTCCATTGTTTGACTCTGCTAAAAGCGTGCTAATGCTGTAGAATGTGGATTACCTTGATTCTCCATTTAATATCAATAAATCAAATTGAGGATGCAATTCGTATTTCATCAGACTCACACAATATCAAAATGTCTTCCATCTCCCAATGTCTCTAACTAATTGAATGTATCCCAATGTCGTCTACTCTACACCGAGTTTTTAACCCCAAATTAAAAAGAAGATGAAATGAGAACGGGATGGGAGGAGACAGTATGTGGACAAACTGAGTCTCGTTTCTTTGTCTGGTATAGAAGTTGAAGGGTTCCACTTTTTAAGAAAACCATTCCAAAAGCATTTCGCTTTGCTTCTTCTTCACTTAAAAAAGCCCAACCACGCAACCTGGTCGCCTCCTTTTTATTATTTTTATTTTTTACATCTCCAGAAAACGCTCTTCTATGAAGCTTGTCAATAAACTAAACGAAGACGGAAGATGGATGGATCTTTTTTTTAATCAAGTGCTGTCGGGCCGTCCGGCTGTGTAGTTTAACAAATCGGCCGTGACAGTGAGAAATGCCTTTTTAAAGTAAGTATGAAAAAGGTGAATTTCATCGGGTTTTCTTTGAGACATTCCCTCGAACATTGTATTAAACGACAATTGCCAAACCAGACCAACACAGCCCAGATCGAGATCGGAGATCGTGGTCGTTCCTCATTTTTCAAATTTTCAAATCCATCTCCCCATCTTTGTCTTGGTTAACTTTGCATTTATTTATTATGAGGTGAATGGTTACTTGCATTAGTATTCTATTTATCAGCTACCACCAAGTCTCTCTGCAGTTGTAATCCGTAAAATGATTATTTTATTTAGAGAAGTGAATGGGTCGGATCTATCCAATAGAACCGATTGTGTATCGATTCTGGATCTGTGGTTTCTGTCTTGATCAACAATTGGGACGGGAGTGGGTTATTGCTATTTAGAATCGATTATATTGGCCCCGTTTGGTTCGTGGAAATAATCCGATTCCAACTGTTTGGTTGAGCGGAATTAGAATTTCATTCTCTTTTTTATTGAAATGACATTCTCTCATTTGAAGGAATGAGGGAATGGCCATTTTTTACCTCTCCCTTGGGAATAAAATCCCATTTTTACCAATTCCAATTCCCATTCCGATTCCTGTATGAACCAAATAGACTATGGGAATAGGCGATTCTGATTCCGATCCTAACTGTAAACCAAACGGACCCTATAATTAGTAACATATTAACATGTACAGGTTTGTTTTCTGTCTAAAAGGGTAATTTCATAGACAATATAAGATATTTTGGTTAAAAACACTTGTTTTATCAACACATAAACAGTTTAGGGAAAATTTCAGATTAATACCCTATACTTTGTGGCTAGTGTCACTTTGGTCCCCAAATTTTAAAATGTGGCAATTCAATATCTAAATTTTCAAACATGACAATACAGTACCTGTCATTAATCAGCAGTTAACCTGCTGTTAAGTGATATTTGAAATGGACACAAATGCCCTTCGAGTGTCATTTAATTTTCTTTATCAGCCATCTAAACATTGGCAAAAAATAAATAGTCCCAAATCCTTGCTTCTTCCATTCAAGAAAGTTTGGGGTTAAGTTTGATTGGGCATTCAGATGACCCCAACTTTCTTGAAAAGAAGAGGCAAGCATTTGGGACTATTAATTTTTTGTCAATGTTTAGATGGTTGATAAAGAAAATTAGATGGCACTCAAAAGGGCGTTTGTGTCTTTTTAAAAATCACTTAACGACTAATTAACAACAGGTAATGGATTGTCACGTTTTGAAAATTCGGGTACTGAATTATCACATTTTAAAGCTTGGGGACCAAAGTGACACTAAACCCAAAGTACAGGATACTAATCTGAAATTTTCCCAACAGTTTATTACTTACTGTCTATTTTATTAGAGTTATATTATTAAAACTGAATTTCCAAGTTATTATCATGGGTAATTATAGATGTCGAATAGAATCGGGGTTAGGCCCGATTATCCTAACTAATAATTGGTTTGGTTTTGGTTCTATTTTATAAAATCAATTAATAATTGGTTCAAGACTGGTCCACCTGTCCTGACCAGACCCAATCTGTTGACAGCTCTAGTTTTATCTCTACTTGCACTCATGTCCCTCTAGTTGTTGGTTATCTTGCTTGTCTTCAACTATAACAAAATTTGGCTTCTCTTTTTATTTTTCTTATTTTCTTTTCCTTAACGCTATGTTTGGTTTGAAGGGAAGAGTAGGGAAAGGAAGGAAAATGCAGAGAATTCCTTTCCTTTCCCTTCTCT